CCTCGGAGGAGGAGGATGAGGAGTTCCAGTTCATCAAGAAGGCGAAGGAGCAGGAGGTGGAGCCCGAGGAGCAGGAGGAGGAGCTCGCCAACGACCCCCGCCTGCGCCGCCTCCAGAACCGCATCGCTGAAGATGTGGAGGAGCGGTGAGTGCGGGGCTCGGGGCACTGGGAAGGGATGGCATCGTGTGAAGCAGGCTCAGACCAGGGAGCAGCCGAGTGACATCAGCCACCTCCCCTGGAGCTGCTGCTCTTTTCGGTTCTGGTAATGGGGAGACTTGCCGCTGGGACCTCTGCTCCTGCTCTACAGCATGGCCAGGGAGGAGCTCTTGGTGCCCAGCCACTCCATCCTGGGAGAGAATGTGTTGGGTTCTGCCCATGCTCAGCAGCTCCGGTGTTTTCCACAGCCTCATAGGGGACAAGCCCCCAGTAGCCAGCCTCTTGTAGGCTTTTTACGTTGGCTGTTGTTTAACTGGTCTGTTGCAGGCTGGCGAGACACCGTAAAATCGTGGAGCCTGAAGTGGTTGGAGAAAGCGACTCGGAGGTGGAGGGGGAAGCCTGGCGCCTGGAGCGGGAGGACACCAGCGAGGAGGAAGAGGAGGAGATTGATGATGAGGTGAGCTTGTAGAGCTGAATAATGGCCAGGGGAAACCTCTGAACGGCACGGGCTGGACCTGCCTTTTGCACAGACGTGTCTGGTGGAGCTGGACGAGTGTCACAGTTGGCTGTAACTGAGCTGTTGGGACACTGTCGTCTTGCATGGGATGGGTGTATCATCTCATCACCAGCAATCCAGCCCCTGCATGTGTTTGACAGAGAAGTCTGGGGGCAGCGGCAGCGGGGCTGCTCTCCACTGCTCTGTGTCTGACTCTGCAGGAGATCGAGCGCCGGCGCGGGATGATGCGTCAGCGAGCACAGGAGAGGAAAACTGAGGAGATGGAAGTGATGGAGTTGGAAGATGAGGGTCGATCTGGAGAAGAGTCCGAGTCAGAGTCTGAGTACGAGGAGTACACGGACAGTGAGGACGACATGGAGCCACGTCTCAAACCCGTCTTCATCCGCAAGTGGGTGCTGCAGCCGTGCGGGTCACTCTGGGCATGGACACGGGAGCCAGGGTCATGCAGGCCCCAGTGCTAAGGCCTCCTCTTTCTCCCCAGGGGGAGAGTGATGGTCACATCCCGGCAGGGCACAGCTGGGGAGTGTGGGGTGATCCCTTCCCCTTCTCAGGTCGCTGCAGGTTGAAGTCACAGCAGGGTCTGACCGGGCCCCTTGGGCAAGTGCCATACAGTGGCAAACAGAAGCTATCAGTGGGCTAAGCCCCACAGCCGGTGGTTTGGTCTCCCACTGCTCGTGTGCGTGCCAGCAGCCATAGGGGAATGGTGCAGCAGCCCCAGCATAGGTGTTGCTGGAAGGGGGTGAGGGCCCTGGGCCTCAGCCTGTCCTTGGAGAGGGTGAAGGCTGGAAGCAGCTGTGGTGCAGGAGGGGGAGAAACCTGCAAAGGAGCTGGTTGGCTGCACTGGCATGTGGCAAGGCTGAAGGTGGTTGTGGTTCCTGCCTGCAGGAAGGACAGGATCACGGTCCAGGAGCGAGAAGCAGAAGCCCTGAAGCAGAAGGAGCTGGAGCAGGAGGCAAAGAGGCTGGCAGAGGAGAGGCGCAAGTACACACTCAAGGTGCCATGGGGCCCGCTGGGGGTTGCGGGGGGGCAGCTGCTGCAACGAGCTTAGATTGCTCCTTGCTGCAGATTGTAGAGGAGGAAGCCAAGAAGGAGCTGGAGGAGAATAAGCGCTCACTGGCAGCACTGGATGCACTTGATACAGATGATGAGAACGATGAGGAGGAGTATGAGGCCTGGAAAGTACGTGAGCTGAAGCGCATCAAACGGGACCGAGAAGAACGAGAAGCGTAAGTATTGTCTGCATAGGCATGAGGTGGGAAGCCTGCAGCCCAGGCCCCGTGGGCAGCGGAGGCAGCTCTTCCCCAGGCTTCCCTTTGGTGGCATGGACTTGGCTGGACCAAGCGCCCAGAGCCTCTCCTGCAGCCCTCGGGGTGTCTTTGTGCCGCTGCAGAGCCCCCCAATGTGTAACCCCATGGATGGCAGCAGCAGCCATCCTGGCGGGACTCAGGGGGTTCTCTCCTGCCCAGCATGGAGAAGGAGAAGGCAGAGATCGAGCGCATGCGGAACCTGACGGAGGAGGAGCGCCGGGCCGAGCTGCGGGCCAACGGCAAGGTCATCACCAACAAGGCGGTGAAGGGCAAGTACAAGTTCCTGCAGAAGTACTACCACCGCGGCGCCTTCTTCATGGTGAGTTCCCCTGGGCACGGCCGTGCTGGCAGCTGGGGCTGCGAGACCATGGGGAGTGGTGCCGTGCGGCTGGGGGTGCCCTTGGGGTGGCACAGGGGCTCTCCCCAACTTCTGGCACTGGCTGGGGACGTGCCAGCTGAGCAGGCGTGTGCTTGCCCCACAGGATGAGGACGAAGAGGTGTACAAGAGGGACTTCAGTGCCCCAACCCTCGAGGACCACTTCAACAAGACGATCCTGCCCAAAGTCATGCAGGTGGGTGAGCTGCTGGGGTCACAGTTCCTCAAGGGGTGGGGGGAGCAACGGGTCCCCGTGTCCTCCCCGGATGGCTCCTCACCAGCTCTGCTGCTCCCCAGGTCAAGAACTTTGGGCGCTCGGGGCGGACAAAGTACACGCACTTGGTGGACCAGGACACCACATCCTTTGACTCTGCGTGGGGCCAGGAGAGCGCGCAGAACACCAAGTTCTTCAAGCAGAAAGCAGCGGGTGTTCGGGATGTCTTCGAGAGACCCTCGGCCAAGAAGCGAAAAACCACTTAATGCAGTGGGAGCCCAGGCAGGGACGGGAGGGACACAGTGCTGTGCCAGGACTTGTGTGGTGACAAACCCTTCCTCTGCCGCAGTGCCCCACTCCCCGTGCTGCCGTGACCCGGCAGACTCCCTGCCCCGGTGCTGTGCAGGACACTGGCCCCACCACCATCCCACCGGAAGCCGCCCCTGGAGCCTCAGCAGCACTCACCGGGGCTGTGCAGGAGCACGGCAGCTCCAGTGCACCCACTTCTGGAGGCGTGAACGGACTTTTATACCCACCTGGTCCTCATGGCTTGTATTTTCCCTGTTGTCAGTTCAGGCCCTGTTTTGGTGACCCCTTTTCCTCTCCCTGGTTGTGCAGGGCCTGCCTTTTCTACCCATGCAGGAGGGTGGGTTTGATTAAAGTCATCATTTTCTTACTTGTTCTGGCTGTTGTCTGTGAATGTGGCCATCCTGTTCTGCACCTTCCTGCAAGCCAGGATGTGCTGGTGCAGCCGGGGAGGGACCATGGGTGGCTGTCACTGCACCCAGATCATAACCATGCCCTTGCCCCAAGAGGGGTGAGGTTACAGGCAGGAAGAGCAGTGAGTCTCAGTGCTTGGGGAGGTTGCAGGTCACCTCATCCTGCTCCAGGCTATCAGCACTGTGTGCCCTATGGGACCCACAAGGCAGGCACCCGGCCACACACAGACCACATCGACACCTGCTCCCAACGGCACCTTTATTGTGTAGGGACACAGAACCTGGCTGCAGCCGGCCCCGCGCCCAGCACTCAGTTGGTGAGAGTGACGAGCGCCTCCACCACATTCCCCATGTGCTCCCGAAGGCTGCGCTCCGCGGCCGCCCGTGAGATCTCCATCTCTGTCATCTGCAGGGACGGTGGCAGCAGAGCAGGTCATGGTGCGGGACGGGGCCACCGAACTGCCCCTGCGGGCTGGGACACCCCCCCACACACTCACAATCAGCTCCAGGTCCTCCTTCTTGATGGTCACTTTTGCCAGTTCCTTCTC